ATTTATAGAAGAAAGGAAGCTGCTGTGTAAGCTGCTACTGCAAGCTGCTGTATAAGCTGCTACTGCAAGCTGTTGTGTAAGCTGCTGCTCTAAGCTGCTTGTAAGCTGTTGTGTAAGCTGCTGCTCTAAACTGTTGTGCCAGATATAGATAATCTTCTATCATGGGTAATATTTATCCATAACAGAGTACCACGGAGTACTGAAAGGATAAGCTTCTTCAGGAGGCTTATTTCCAATAGAGTACTAAATAGATAAATGTATTTATGGCGGAGTCTCGTATGGATAAATTTCTTCAGGAAGCTTATTTACAACGGAGTACTAAATGAACATCCATAATATAATATATTCATAACACTTTTTTTCTTTTCTTCTTTTTTTTAAAACATTGTTTTTTGGGTGATGAGACTTTTGGGCTTTATAGTTGATATTTGATAGAAAAATGTATGTGAGGCTTCTGAAGTTCCACCAGAAAGAAACGATTCTTTATTTGGGTTAATTTAACTAAAGGCCATCCAACTTATCTTTTATTTCACAAAAGTCATTTATCTATTTTTCATCACTTAAAAGTCACTTAACTTTACATTTATAACTTAAAGTCATTCTAGTTCAAAACCTATAAGATATTCAATAAAAAATATGATATGGCATTACATTTAATTAAAGAATCTAACAATAATGCCACATAAGCTTAAATAGACCATATCTAAGTCGCCATTTGATTGAAACAAGTTCCGTGCTGCTCACCACTCCTCGAGGCCAAGGACGGGGTCCCATTTCTTCCTCATCCCGATTTCGGCCGGTTTTTTGAATATTAGTTTTAATTTATTTTATATGAAAAACCGACCGATTTCGGTCGGTTTCTTAAAAAATAAATTTCACGTGATTCTAAAATAGTTTCCCGCATTTTTGCGCCAAAAAACCGACCGAAGTCCGTCGGTTTTGTAAAAAAATAAAAAATAAAATATTTTGGAAAACCGACCGACTTCAGTCGGGTTTTTTGGGCGTATTTTTGAACTACCGAAGTCGGTCGGTTGGCCGCGGTCGGTTTTGGCCGAATTTTTAGTAGTGAACTTCTACTATGCAATTTCATTGTTGGTGTTTCTTATCAATATTTTTGACTTTAATGGAATAGTAATTTGTGAAAATAGGTTTTTATTAACTTGTTGTTCTTGTCTGTTAATGGTACATTTATATGTTATGTGAGATTGAAGTCCGTCGATTTTCCAATTTTTTTTACTAAACTGACCGAATTTGGCGCAAAAATGCGAGAAACTATTTTAGAATCCCGCGATTTTTTTTTTTAAGAAACCGACCGAAATCGGTCGGTTTTTCATATAAAATAAATTAAAACTAATATTCAAAACACCGACCGAAATCGGGATGAGGAAGAAATGGATCTAACTTAGATATGGTCTATTTAAGCTTATGTGACATTATTGTTAGATTTTTTAATTAAATGTAATGCTGTGTCATATTTTTTATTGGATATTTTATAGGTTTTGAACTAGAATGACTTTTAAGTTATAAAGGTAAAGTTGGGTAACTTTCAAGTGATAAAAAATAGATAAATAATTTTTGTGAAATAAATAATAAATTGGATGACCATGTGTGAAATTAAACCTTCTTTATTTACGAGGCGTTTCAATTTTGAATGGGTGGAAACGGTTGTTCACTTGATAATGAATTGTGGCATTTATACATTAAATTGGACATAAAGAATAAGAGAAAAAGGGCAAAAAATCAAGATAAAGGATAAATATGAATGCTGGGCAATGAGATGCGACACATCATTCTTTTTTTGCTCAGATATAGATATAGATATTAAAATTTTTTACTTACCAAATAAATAAATTTCAGGAACGTTTGTGCATAAAAATGTTTGACGGGAAATTATTTTCCATAGCAAACAAGCTCAGTCTCTGTCTTGGTTGTATTCGGACCCAAAACCTGCTTTTTATTTCGTTTCCTGAATAGTAGTAGTTAAAAGCAAAATCCAAGAGTGAGAACAAGAAGAAAACCGTCCACTGGAATTTCAACTGAGAAGAAAAGGATGCTGCGAGCTCCGACTCCAACCAGTCATTCAAATCAAGCCAGACCAGAAATGGAGCAGCCGCCGCCGCCGCCGCCGCCGCCCCAGTTGAGGTCTTCTTCTTCCTCAGTTTTCAGAAGCCACCACCATCACTTTCATCCTTCTCGACCTGCCATCCTTGATCTCTTCAACCTCTACTTAGGACTGGTAATCTACCTTTAATTTCATATTTGNATCCTTCTCGACCCGCCATCCTTGATCTCTTTAACCTCTACTTAGGACTGGTAATCTATCTTTAATTTCATATTTGCCCCTTTTTTGAAAAAAAATCCCCCCCAAATTTAATCACTATTCCATTCTTGAAGTTTTTGTTTCGTTGCAAAGTTTATTTTCTTTTTCAATGTTCTTTCGCAGAAAAATTCTGGGCAAAAATCAGATGATTCTATTAGAGAACCTCCGTAAGTGTTGTCTTTTCTTTCTGACATGTATAATTTGGCTGTAGTTTGAAGCACTATCTTGCGCATGAATTAAATATTTTTCATTGTTTATGACTTTTATAAGCTTAACAGCTTAACTATATACATCTGTCTCCAAATTTGTTAAGATCGAAGATAAAGAAGACACAAATTTAACGTGGTTCGGTCAAGGTGACCTACGTCCACAAGCGGAGAGTAACAATTTTATTATACCAACAAGAGTACAAAAGAGAGTACAAAATTAGAGTAAATACTCTAATTAGTCCCAAATACCCCAAGAGAATAACCTCACAAGATCACTCCAAAGAAAGGATTCACACAAGTGTTTTCCAACACTCACTCTCTTACAAAATACTCTATAATGAAATAAAGGAGGAGAAAGAAAGGCAAGAGTGAAAAGCACTTGAATTGATGTGTTTTCAAATGAGGAGAAACTCCTCTATTTATAGCAAGAAATCCTTGGCCTAATAATAGATATTATGTCATGGCAAATGTCATGATCCACAAATTTGTTATAATGGATATTATGTCACGACAAATGTTATGAACCACAAATTTGTTATAATTGATATTATGTCATGGCAAATGTCATGATCCACAAATTTGTTATAATTGATATTATGTCATGGCAAATGTCATGAAAATTTGGCCATATTACTAATCTCCACCTTGGCCTAATTTCGGCTTATATATAGTAAATTTGCTCCACCTTCCCCGCAAAAACCCCAATGGGCAAAATCATTCTTCATAAATGCCAATCAAGTTCAGGCAAAGCTTGAACTTGGACACTGGAAGAGGTTTTGTGAACATGTCAGCAG